TATCTGAGAAAGTCTTGTCATGCAGTTGCTGCTTCTCCAGATTGATAAATCATTACTGTGATGCTGTGAGCACATCTTGTAAATACTTCCGGAAAGGAAGGCGAAATAGCTACTACTTGCCAAATCGCTCGATCGATAACTCCGGGACAGCCAAGAATGACCTACTCAGGTGTTTCAAAGAACTCTACTCTAGTGTCGAGCTACCTTCTACCAAATCACAAACCCTGGCATAGGGTCGATAATTTTGCAAGCACTGCCTGACGGGTCTCCCACCGCGACCCGTAAAGAGTAAGTAGCCATAGAAACTGACCGAAAATCGGTTTAAACGAATTGGTGCGATACATGGAACCTAAGCATGAACAGCTTGAAACTACAGACAAGATCAATATCGCAATGGGTAAGACACGTTTTACAAAAAATCTAACATCGTATTGCCAAAGAGATGGTCAGTTTCTCTTGCAACAGCTCTTGCCCATGGCCATTTCAACTTCTCGCTTTTGAAAACGGCATGAAACTGTTTATTTATACACACCCACACAATAATCACGGAGCTGTTGAGTGACTAGTACCGACGTTCTGGCTCGTGTTTTTCATGCCTTCCTCAAAGAAAAGAGGTGGTAGACTTCGGAAGTGTTTTTCTGCGTGCGCAGTGATTGGTCGTTAAGAGCAGGAATGCGATATGCGTATAAATAAACTCTATGCTATGCTCTATGCTGTTTCCAGGATGACCTCCAACGGACGAACGAAATTTTCATTCATCGCTCTTGCAATGATACAAGAGACCTGCAGACTCGATTGTCTATCTGGACTGAATCATAAATTGACTTCAGCCCATCTCGGAATGGACAGAATTGCGAATTAATTACGACCCATACGTGTTTCTGCTAGTTGATGTCCTTTTGTCGATTCATTCAGCTCAGAGATAAATTAAATGCATCTGGAGCAACTAGATAAGTCTAGGTATAGCAACGAAATGTTCACGAGGTGCTGCAAGCAGAAGTTGGAAACAGGCACACGGAACTGTCGGGCGAACTTCGCAATGCAAAAATTAGAGTGATCACCGATGACGAGTAGGCGATGAACCGAAGTGCAAACTATCTGTCGTCAAATTTACATGTTATCGGATGTTGCTCCCGCGGAGAAATCCGTTCATGCCTGCATAGAGTGAAATTAATTCGTAATTTAGTCCTTACCAATATCGGTTGACACTGACTATCGGTTCAGTCCATGTTTTCTGATGAAGAAGCACAAACGACTTGAACTGCCTAGAGCAGCATTGAATATGACGAATAACGAGGGTTAGATGGCAAGATCACGTTGG